CCCCCCTTTCCCCCTTCATTTCTTCACTCATCTCTCATTTCTCAAGCTCATATTCTCAATTATCATTCTCTCATTCTTCACCTAAAGTGCAATCAAGTATTTGGCTCTCATTTTTTTGGAATTTCATTTATCGTATTATTTATTATTTGAAGTTTGAGTTTGAACAATTGACGTTTCTTTGTGGTAACATTGGAGTTGCGAAATCATCAAGTGTTCAATTTATTGCCGAATTAGGTGCACTCCCTCCAACTCTTTCTCTTATTTACTATTTTATTTGCATATTTAATTTTTGCTAGTAGTTAAATTTTTACAATATGTTTAGTGCTGCAAAAAGAGTTTGTAATAAGGTTACTAATCGGGAAATAGAAGAGGTTACTTCAGCATCTGGTAGTAATTTAAATGACTCTGAACATATTTCTAAAACATTACCTGATAATAATATAGATTATGAACAATTACAGGAAGATTTCGGTATAGAAGATAATGAATTAGAAATTGAAGATAAGACACCACTTACACCTAGTAGTGTTGGAGTTGGTAGCAGGGGTGGTGGTCGTGGTGCTAGTAGTAGACCACCTGTGGCCCCAACTACTAATCGGAGAAAAAGAAGTATGGTTTGGAAATTTTTTTGACAAAATAGTAGGTACTGATAGAGTTAAATGCAGACTTTGCAATGGAAATTTTAAACATATGACTAGAGGACAATTAGGAGGGACTGGGACACTTAGTATACTTATGGGAATTGAGCATCCTATAGAATGTGGCTCTGATGGAGATGGATATCAAGCAACTCTAAACCCTATGACTGGAGGGCTTATGAAATATGATAAAATGAAGGATCGTGAGGAGTTAGCAAAAATGATTGTTTTGGGTTGTCTACCTTTTTCTTTTGCTTCTTCATCATATCTTATTATGTATGTTCAAAGGATTTATAATTCTTTATTTAAAGGTATCCCTAGAAGTACTTGTAGATCTGATATCTTTAGACTTCATAGACAATACCAAACATACATACGTTATTTGTTTGGCCACCTTCTTTGTAGAGTTTCTCTAACTTCTGATATTGGCCACGCTGTTAATGAAAATGATTATTTGACAATTACATGTCATTGGATAGATGATAATTATTGTATGCAAAAACGTATTATCGCTTTTAAATATGATGAAGATCAGAGTCATATTGTTGTGTTTATAAGTACTACTATTTGCGAAGTTATTGAATTTATAATCTTAAGAAGAAAGTATTGTGTATGTCTTTTAATAATGCTTCTAACAATAATGCCGCAATTTTAATATTAAAACTGCATTTGCAACCACCACTTGACGAAATTTTTCATGTTAGGTGTGCATGTCATGTTTATAATTTAATTGTTAAAAGTGACCTTGATTTATTTTCAACTGAGATTACTCATGTTAGAAGAGCAGTTGGTGTTATTCAAGGAAATAATAGACAATCTAGAATTAGGGAATTTAAGAATAAGGGTACCAAGCATAACCTTAAGCTCAGATTCATGCCAAACGAAATTGTTACTAGATGGAATTATACATATATATTTTTAAAATATTGCTACAAATATAGATTCCCAATAACTGAAGTTGCTAATGCACATTGTACTGATCCAAACCGTATGTTAACAACTACTACTTGGGAGGCCATTAATGATGTTGTTAAATTTTTACATAAATTTAATACAGCTACTGTTGAGTTTTCTGGAGCATATTACCCTACTGTTATTATGGCTTTAGTACAAATAGCTGAAATTTCTTTTCTACTCTTTGAATTTAAGAAGAAAGAAAAATATAAGGATGCTGTTGAAAAAATGCAAGCAAACCAGTAGCAGAAACATTGATGAACTTCAATTCTACTTGCAAAAGCAAAAAGAGCCTCGCACAAAGGAATTTTCACCGTTGGGATGGTGGCATGAGAATGAAAAGCAATTTTCTGTTCTTTCCGCTATGGCTCGAGACGTGCTGAATGTGCAAATTTCAACTGTTGCATCAGATAGTGCATTTAGCCAAGCAAGACAACAACTTGGAGACACCCGTCACTCATTGGGAATCAATGCTTTGGAAGTTTTAGTATGTTTCAGAGATTGGATTAGATCGGAACGAAGAAATCAAGGATGTGAAGCTGTTGATAGCCCAGAAGACGAGGAACTTGGAGGTATATTAACACATGGTAACCCATCTGAATTTAACACTTCAGAAGAAGGCCAATTAATTCATATTGATTATGAAGAACTTACTAAGGCAATGCAAAACCTTTGAATTTACTCTTTTTTCGTTAATTTACTTGTTAAATTTAAACCTTTCAATTTGCAAGTTTGAATTTTGAAATAAATGTAGCACTTGCAATTTATAAGTGCAATTTTTCTCTCATCTTCATTATATTCTTTATATTTTACTTTATATTAATATAACTTACAATAGTTATACAAAATACAAAAAAAAAAAAAATTACACTAACCCGGCCTGGCCCTGCCCCTTGGACCCGTAACCCTTACGGTTCATTTTTTACTCGGATGAATCCGAACCCGTTAAGCCCGATAACCCCTAACCCGTAACCTGCCCGGTTCGAAACCCGGACGGTTTCAACTTTTCCCTACCCGGCCCGGCCCGGACCACCGGTTTAACACCCTTAATTTTTATACATGATTCTGAGATGTATATCATTAATACTCAGAATAATTACAAGTTGCAGAATATATATGATTTGTTATCTGCATTATTCTCACAACAAACTGGAACCAAATGACAGGTTGTGCTAAAAGGGAAATAAATCAAACATATGGATATAAGGCAAATAAACTTAAAGCAATGAAACTTCATTACAAGATTTATTGAAACACCAGCTTTCTTCATTCTCCATTTCCAGACTTGTTCACATGGCTCCTTACTTAACAATAAGGTTTATATAGAGACACTGTTAGGAATTCCTTTGCCTGTGAGCCCCCCTTCGCTTGTTGGGAAGAGTAGTGTGTACGGAGCCTTAACAGGCCCTGACCTGTTCCTCCATATCTGGTCACCATTCATTTCTATAATCCGATTTTCAATGTCACTCAACTTGTTGCCGAATCTCTCAAAAGCAGCAAGGGGTTCTTCGTCGTATGTCCATTTAGGGGAGTCCCTCTGTCCGAGGTAAATTTCATCTGAAGTATGCCTTGATAATATCTCTATAAGGGAAACACCAAGCAGTGTCTGCAACTGAGCAGTGATTGTTCTTAGGAATGCCTTATCAGGATTTGTCTTTAGCAATTCATACTCAGAAGTTCCTGGCTCTGGCATAAATCTTCGACTTACTGTAGGACGATTTGGGAGATAACCTGCATAAGGATATTGACCAAAATTGACTGCTGCATGAAGTGCAGAAGCTGTCCATATAATGATGGTGCAAGAATCTATTAGCTCTTGGCAATTTTCCATTTTAGGCCACCATGGTTCATCTTTTAGGTCACCATGTCCCTCTTCGCGGAGTTCCTTCCACCAAGCTTGGAGTTCATTGTCTTTTAGAATCGAGTCATCAGATTTATAATAGAAGCTGCAATATTCTGTTACCCAACTTTTGATCGCTGACCATATTTCTAAACCATCAACAGCGTATGGGTAGTCCTGTATCAACAAACGAATGCCATGGGGGGAACTCGAGTCCTCAACTGCCATTCCTCTGAAATCAAATTATGATATTATGGTCATATAATTAAGCAAGCTCGAACAACCTATAAAGGTTAGTCCTGAAATTTGATGAAGCTTAATTGTCATTTAGTACCTTTTAACAAGATCAGTGGGAAGTGCTTGATCAGGGAAAATCCAGTTTTTGTAAACCACAGCAGACATTTCCATGGCATATTTGGAAGGAAAAACTGTACTCTCAAGAACTCCACCAGCATTGATTAGGATTTGTCTTGCCATAGCATTTATGTTCATTGTGTCACGGAAGTGAGGATGCAAAAGCTTATGAATCGGGTGAAGCACACTTAATTGCCTATTTGTTGCAATCACAAATGGCTCAATCACAGCATGTGTATTCAACCTACAAAGATGACCAGATCGATGTCTTAGAATAGTGCTGATATTCGAGAGTTGTTATTCTATGTCAAAAATCCATGTATAGAGAAGCCTTTTGAAAGGATATTACCAATGACTAATTAGCTGATGAACACCTGAGTCATTCACTGCAACATAAGCTTTAGCCAGTTCCCAGATGGAGCCCTCGACACCTTCATCGGTTGGGGTATACACTTTGCTAATAGCACCAAATTGGTCTCCATCTGGATGTGGCAGACTTAGTTCAATTGCTAGCGGCTTCAAACATCCATTATCTTGCAAGAAGAGCAATGTTCTTGAGGCATAGGTTTTTGTTGTTGTCGTGTTTATTCTCCTCAAATATGGCATAATGGTATCATGGTGGTTCAGTATGAAAAGCCTATTACTCTTGATTGCCTTCCAAAAACAAAAACAAAAAAGGCAAAATCCTTACTTGTCAAAGGAATCTAAGTTAATAGTAGGAACTAGGTGTGAAAATGAATTACCTCATCAATTGTTAGTCCATCCAACCTATCCTCTATATGTTGTATGGTAATTGTACTATCTTGATTACCATAGACTTGAGGATCCAACTTGCTTTTTGGAGGGAATTCCTACAAATAAGTCACAAAAAGTTAATATATGAGAAAAACACAATAAAGGTTTGGTCCCAGCCTTATTCCGAAATGAAGCCAGCTTACTTGGAGATTTCTGATTATGACAGGATTCACACCAGCCAACATTTCTCTTCCAAATTCTTCATCAGTTCTCCATGCAGTTTTATCCTCTACATAAATAATACAACCAAAATACATAAAGTAAAATGGATGTCTAAGCTCAAAAGCAGTGGAATCCAAAGGTGTGGGGAATTTCATGCAGTTATTAGTACCTTTAATAACCAAAGGTGTGGGGAATTTCATTATTCCTTCACCGTCAGTTCGAAGAAGTTCTTTTACCATCTCTAGAGGAATGGAACTAATGAGAGCTTTAAATAAAGGGCCTTGAGGAAGCTTGATGCCTCCTTCATAGAGTCTGAGCACATCCTCAAAACTGTCAAACTCGTTAGGAGTGCTATCGAAAAGAGCATGTAATTCAGGGAGGATGAATTGAACCATGGATTTCAAGGCATAAGTTAGGAAGTCTGACAACTTCAAGTGTCCAAAACGCTCGTCTCTTGGTACATAGATGTCTAAGCTCAAAAGCAATGGAATCCTGCTTTCACTTTCAGGATCTAACAAAAAAGGCCATGTCAATAAACTAAACATGCATGTTTGGTAATTATATAAAAAATGAAGTTAAAATACTAATTAACCTGTTCTTGTTGGTGCTCTGCCTGTTCTTCCTCTTCGAGGGTACGGGTAGTCAGAGGAGCCACCCAAGATAGGTCTGACATGTTGTGCACCTTGGTCAGGATCACCTAAGTCATTATACAAAGCATAGTCATAAACCCTGTCCCAAGCCTCAAGCTTTCCAGTCCCATCTCCTCTTAACGTTAGTAATTCGTTTTCTCTGTATTTGAGCAAAGGTGCTGGTGTTTCACTTGGAAGATATGTCTGCATCAACATTAACGTTAATTTTTTTGTTCCTTTTACATGCATGCATGCCTAAATACTCGAACAAGTAACCATACCTTATTTGCAAAGAAGATGCGGTCCGACTTGTATTTATTTGCAGGATAAACCCAAGAATTACAGACAAAATGAACCGTGCCATGATTGGGAACATCTTCAAGGGTAACTGACTTGAGGAAGAACTCAGTGAAATGCAAATTCTTGATGATGAATGCACCTGGAAGCCCAAACTCCTCGTCCCAATCAAATGTGACACCATACGCTGATTCACCTGCTGTTAATGGGGTTATGGTAGTGAGCCAGTTCTCCAAGTAGGCTGGATTGCTGTGTTTGCCTTGTAAATCATTTGCTGCAAGGTCGGATAAATTTGTAAATCTTTGGTTAGTGAGACTGTTGGCAAAAAATCGACACAAAGTCCGATTGTCTGTTTATTAAGAAAAGAATTTAAGGTATATACACGGTTAATCATTTGTTTACATCATCATTATAGTTTGATTAATAATTACATTAACTAGAATTACCCGCAGTTACTTTTTAAATAAACAGATAGTGTAAATATTTTTTTTCCACCGCGTTGTGCATAAAACTCTTAAGTAAATTTTGCGAAAGATCACATGCAGAATGTTGGGGACAATCTTTACCTCTAAAGACTAATTTGAGTAAAGAATACAAAACAAATTTAAATACATACAGTGCTCTTACGAAAAGTTATACTCCCTCCGTTTCATATTAAATGAGGTATTTTCCTTTTTAGTCTGTTCCAAAATAAATGACACATTTCTAAATTTGGAAATAATTCAACTTTAAACTCTTCATTTTTAGCCATTTTACCCTTAATGAGAAGCTTTTATAAGCACACAAAAGTCATGGTCCCACAAAGCTTTACCCCTTAAGCTTTTAAGACCACAAATTTTAAAAGTCTTTTTTTTCTCCTTAAACTCCATACCGAGTCAAACTACCTCATTTATTTGAAACGGAGGGAGTATACAAATATTTCAGCAACTTTACCACAAAAAAAAAAAAGAATTCTATTTATTAGATTTTCCATAACGGAGAGTCGTACGTGATAAAGATTGATGTTCCTTATTGACGCAAACCGCTGAGGTGATGTGACCTTTTTTGTACAAACGAAAGGGCAACAATTATAACTAAAATATACAAGTAAATTGACCAATTGAACTTAAAAACAATGAAGGAGATAAATCATTCTTCTTTCTTATCAAAATTGTCAGATAAAATGTAGGTTTAGATTAGCTAATTCCTTCGCCACCACCAACCAAGTAGATTTTCTTGATAAACAACTCTCTGCACTACAATTATGTAAACAAGAGAGAGAGAGAGAGAGTACACGATCTCTTCTCATTTATTCTAATTTTACACGTTAGGAAGGTCATTTTTCACTGCCTTGTTTCCTTGGTTTGAGATAATTCATTGTCTAGTATTCTATAATCAGCAATTAATAAATTAAGTGACAAGATAGATCTTATTTGTCACGCGGCTTAATAAAATTTATATCTGTATCACTATAATATGATCGTTTTTGAGAGAATTACTAGTCCTACAAACTGGAGGAACTCCCAATTTGGGTCTTTGCGAATGTATTAAACTTATTGATTATCTATTTTTTAAGTGAATAATATGGATCTTATTTATATTCGACCCACTTCTAAAAAGTTTAATCCAACCCATTTTTTAGTTGTTTATATGGATGAATAACTATTTTTTTAAATCTATTTTACCACCACTGTAACTAAAAGATAAGAGTGTACCTAATCTTCTAGATGTCTGAATAAATAATCGATCGGCTCAGCAATTATTCAATGATAGATCTTGTCTGCTTACCTTATATATTTTCTTCTCATCACTTCCATAAGATTGAAAGCTTAATAAGGGAAGGCATGAACTTTGTGTGGTATGGGAGGCTGAAGTAAAGTTCATCATTATAGAATCGAATAAATGCTTCTGTTTCTGGTTCAGACATAATCAATTCTGCAGTTATATCTTCATGCATATTTATTTATTTATTTTTTTTTTGGGGGGGGGGGGGGGAGGAGGGTTGGGGGCATTTAATTTCACTTCACACATATTTCGATATTTTTCCGGGAAGCAAAATGGATAAATTGATACAAGTAAAGATCAAACCTCTTTTTTCTTTCTTCCCAAAAGAACAAAGTGATGGGGAATTTGAAGCTCTAAACACTAAGGGTCTGTTTCGAAAGCATCAGGTAATTGAAATTGGTGTAATTATTAGGATAGTAATTACATAGCCTAGTAATTATACAGTATTGTAATTACGACGACCTATTATTTAACATAATATAATTACATTGTAATTTCAACTGTACTGTTTGATTACACAAGTGTAATTACACAGTATAAAGTTATTTATCAAAAGTTAAGATTTAACAATTTTTTCCTTTATAAATAATATTAAAATTTGACAATTCGGATAGATATTGTTCTTGAAAATATATTAATTTCTAATCATATTATATTTGTAACTAATATTGTAAAAATACTTGATATATATTTTACTTTAATCAATTAAACTAAAAGTACATATTTTGTAAGAATATCATGGACTGCATGTTTGATAAAATAAATAATATTTAAAAATAATACCATAACGTTACTCAAATATTTTAGGAAAACATTAATCTATGAATTCTAATTAAAAATGAATAACATGCAATCTGAAGTAATATATGAATACTACTAAAGAAAATAGAAGTGAAAATATAACATAAATTCGAAATTCAAAAGAAATTAACATAATACTCTTATGTAAAATTACAATATAACATAAAATAAGTTTCAACATAATTTAAGTAAATATAATTCAAAAAAAAAAGGAAAAAATAAATACATGACCTCATTCAACAATGATTTTCTACTTTAACGACATCACTTATTACATGTTCAATTTATTAATGATTCAGTATTTCTAGTATTAGGAGGCATAGTTTCAAAACTAAAATAATAGCACAATTATGCTAAATAAAAAAAATAAAAAAAATGAGTGGCTATATGGAATGACAGAAAATAAAGGTTCAATAATAAGAACTTTATTTAAATATTAAAAAGTGATCTATTATTTTAACATAGTTAAAGTTTCATATAACATCGTCCAATAACAAAGTTCAACTTTAATGACATCACTCATTATAAGTCAAGTTTGTGGTGACTTATTCTTTCTAAGATTAAGATGTATAATTTTTTAGAAATATAAGAACAATAACATAGCTAAGTGTAATAAAAAGATAAAGAAAAATAATTAAGAAAGAAATAAAATATGAGAAATTATGTAGAAACACATGAAGTAAATGTTAGAAAATGAGAAATAAGGAAAAAAAATAATGTAATATTTGAAGAAAAAAAAAAGAATTTTAAAAGTTAAAAAGAAAAAAAGAATAGAAATAAAAAGTAAATTAAAAAGAAAAGAAGGAGATTCAAAAAATACCCTGGTAATTACACCATGTAATATAAGCATTACTATACTTTGTTGTCTAGAATCAAATTAGATCAAATATATTAAGCTTAAGCTTTTTTAGATATATGTCAAATATAATCCCTTTAAACATTTCATCCAAGTGAAGGTAGTTCCAAACTAACCTTTAGCACCAAAATTATCTACATATTACAGGAATCGACCTAGAAGACTCTTAAAATTTGAACGCCAAGTACTTATAAGAGTAAAATAATCAACCACAAGAGCCATAGTAGGGATCAAGAAGTATCATTTCTCTTTCAGAGATACTTTACGCTTACAGTATTCCCTACAAGTAGACTACTCTATAGTTGTTACACTGGAAATAGTTTATAATTAAAGACTTACTATAATTTTATTAGTAGCGGTCAGTACTCCTTTTTTATCTGAAAACCCCCCATAATAGTATTCCAAACAACTGTTCATAATAAGAATAGTAGAAGTGAAACACATTTTTTATGTGTTCCGTTTATGTGACACTTTTTACTTTCTAATCTGTTAGAAACAGTTAGCTTGAGCGCCTTATTTTATCCTTAATAACTTGATGTTATAGTCAGTAGCGGATCGCAAAAAATTATACTGGTAAAAGGGTAAAAACTAATTATTTTTTTATATATATGTATATAAGTTCTTGAATTCCTAAAATGACAAAGTAAGTTCAGAATTGCTTTAGATCACCAGCTTAAATCGCATGTGTGGCATTTTTGAATCCCCTTTTATAAAATTCTGACTCAGCCACTAGTTAAAACCACAAATATATCATTCCATGTTTAAGATCACAAGTTCCAAAAGCATATACAGTCAGACATCTCTATAACAACATCTCTATATAACAACACTTCACTATAAAAGCCAAGCTTTTCTGGAACCAATATTCTTATGTTATGTTATAATATATGTTCTCTATGACATAACTTAGTTATAACATCAAAAAATATTCAGAACAAACTAGGTTGTTATAAGGTTTGACTCATGTATATCTTCTTTATTTTAGACTCCCTCTCAAATCAAACACCATCACGTAGAAGGAGACTGAGAGTGTAAGACAAATTTATATGTGTTAATGGGTTGTAAATTTTGATGCTGTAGTTCACTTACTGATAAATATTTAGCTTCCATATAAAGAGCAGAGAACTTACCTGGATCACCATGAGCAGAACTGATCAATTGCAAAGAGACCTTCTGGCCAACGAATTCGAGAACTCCATCAACAACGGAGCCAGCGATATCAGTAAAGTCTAAAGCATTCTTCTTCATCATCACCACAATTCCTTTCACTTTCTTTGAGTCATTATGCCCAATCAGTCCATCAACAATATTCTTTATCGGAAACATGATGATACAATCTCTGAGCTAAATAAGGGAGAGTAAGAATGAAATATAGAAAGATAGATGACTTTTGTTGTGAAGTTTCAATGCAATGAGTCTCGTATTTATAGCCAGAAATTACTAGCTAGCAAGAAAGCAAATAATAAAAAACAAAAGAACAGTAGCCAAATCTATGATCTACGTGTTTACTCTGTATTATGCTTCCGTGTTTCATGTGTTTTTAAAATTTGTGTTTTCCTTAATTGATTTGCAGCACATGAACCATGGTTTCTATTTTTTTTTCCTTTATAAATTTGTACTGTTATTTAATTTGACATTTTGGTCTGTTGTTTATTTTGTTGCTGGTTGCTCCCAAACGCACACGCAAGTATACGTGGTCCTACAAGTAATAAAATGATAAGTCAAGTGTCGAACCCACAGAGACTTGTATCAACTACCCACTAAATTCACCAAGATTGCTTCAAGAGTGTAATTATACTAAATAATAATTCTAAGTAGTAACTAAATTATAAAGCAGTAAAATGGTTGTTGTGTATTCAATAGAGACGAATATTCTAGGGTTGTGATCGATTCAACAATCCTATTGTGTTCTAGTTAACTCTCCCTTTCATACAATTCACTCATGGTTGCTAATTAATCGAACAATTGCTCTCATAGCCTTCTCCCGAAGTACTACTCGCCTATTCAAAATAGTTTGACGCCTATATTCCTATGAAATCAATCTATTAAGAACGCATTAAGATTACGATATTTAATTAAGCACTATGACTAGGTATATTCCTATCCTAACCACAAATCCCCCCCCCCCCCTCCCCCAGAGTTAAGATCGTGCTCTCTTCAATTCTTCTCTAATCTAAACATGGCTTTATGTCACGACCCAAATCTACCATGTCGTGATGGCGCCTAACGTGGAACTAGGCAAGCCGACTCTTTATAAAAAACAACCCGATATTTTAAAATAAAGATTTCTTCAAGCTAGTTAATTAATAAAATTGCATAAGGTAATTCTGAATAACAAAGTGCGAAAAGAAAAGCCCGACATCGGGGGTGTCACTAGTCGTGAGCATCTACTAAAATTGTCCGATAATACCAAGACATATACAGTCTGGAAAACGACTAATAACACCTAAAGGAAGACAGGAGGGAGAAGAGCAACGCTACGATCGCCATGCAGCTACCTTGCCAACTTCAACAAATCCGCGACGGATGTAAATCAACGCTCGCTAGTACGTCCAGCAACCCCTGGATCTGCACGCAAGGTGCAGGGAGTAATGTGAGTACGCCAACTCAGTAAGTAATACAGGTAAATAAAGACTGAGCAGTAGAAAACACATAAATTCCACATCATGAAATATCAGTAAGTACAACATGCTTCCAAATCAGTATATGAGTCAAATCATCTCGTTTAAAATCTTGTTTTTGGTAAAATCATTTGAAGATATTTTTCAACAGTTTCAACAAATACTCAATACAAATGAGAGTAAAAGTGATGAACATCATAAACAGCCCTTCGGGCACAACATAACTTAGAATCAGCCCCTCGGGCAAATCTCACAGTCACTCGCATACGCCCCCTCGGGCATATCTCATATCACTCACGCAGGGTACCCGCGCTCACTGGGGGTGTGCAGACTTCGGAGAGGCTCCTTCAGCCCAAACGCTATAATCCGCATGGACAACTCACGTGACACGGACAACTCACGTGCTATAGTATCAATATCAGAATCCGCACGGAGAACTCACGTGCTATACTCTCAATATCCTCACAATTACAGGCCATCGACCTCACTTAGTCATAAATCTCTCAAGCCACTCGGGCTATCAGTAAAAATCAAGGTGCTCAGCCCAAAATAACATTTTATACGCATCAAAACGGTGTAATAAAGACTGAGCTATGAAATCAGTAAACATAGCATGACTGAGTATAGATTTTCAATCAGAAACAGTGAGAGGATGATAAGGAAAAGGCCCTTAAGGGTCCAAACAGCATTGGCACGAGGCCCAAATATGGCATTCAACCCAATTTATAGAAATTTTTTCTAAAACACATAAGAATCATATAGTTTCAGTCTATTACGCAACTTAATAGTTGCTACGTGACGGACCAAGTCATAATCCCTAACAGTGCACGCCCACACGCCCGTCACCTAGCATGTGCGTCACCTCAAAGTATTGAAACGATATGAAATTCGGGGTTTCATACTATCAGGACTAGATTTACATTCATTACTTACCTCAACCGGTCAAATTACTACTCCGCGATGCTCATGCCTCTCGAACCGGCCTCCAAATGCTTCGAATCTAACCACAAACAATTCGGTACAATTAATACGAGCTAAAGGAATGAATCCCATAAGAAAATGTTAAGCTTTAGATCAAAAGTCAAAAAGTCAACTCAAAAGTCGGGCCCCGGGCTCACGTCTCGAAATCCGTCAAAAGTCACAAAATTCGCCAGCCCATTCGATTATAAGACTAACCATACTAGTTTCACTCAATTCCGACCTCAAATGGGCTTTCAATTCCCAAAATTTCATTTTATGAAACTCCATCAACTTTCCCTAAATTCCACCCCAAATCACGAATCCAATGATGAATTCGATGATATATTCATGAGTATTAGCCAAAACCGAGTTAGAATTACTTACCCAGATGATTTTCCTGAAAAACTCTCGAATTTCGTCACAATCCGAGTTCCCAAAGTCCAAGATGTGAAATAAAACCCTAAACCTCGCTTATATAGTGTCCTCTGAACCTCCACTTCGTGGTCCGCGTAATTCCATCGCGGCCGCGCTCTTCTCACCACGGTCCGCGTAAATCCTGCCGTGGCCACGGACCCTGAGCCTTGCCTTCCACCGTTTGCATAAAATACACTGCGGTAGCATTCCTTCTTCCGCGGCCCACGAAAATCCCACCGCGGCAGCGCAACGCCTCCGCGGTCCGCGCCAATTTTGTGCGGTCCGCGCTTCCTACACCAGACACTGCTGACACCAGAAATCTGCAACTCCTAGATCCAGATTGATCCGTTAACCACCCGAAACTCACCCGAGGCCCTCGGGACCTCAACCACACATACCAACACATCCCATAATATCATTCAAACTTAATCGAGCCTTCGAATCACTCAAAACAACATCAAACACCAAATTAACCTCGGATTCAAGCCTAAGAACATCTAAATTTCCAAATTTCACAAACAACGCCTAAACCTGTCAAATCACAACCAAATGACCCCAAATTTTGCACACACATCACAATTGACACTACGAACCTGCTCCAACTTCCGGAATTCCATTTCGACCCTGATATCAAAATTTCCACTGCCGATCGAGAATCGCCAAATTTCCAATTTCACCAATTCAAGCTTAAATCTACGGACCTCCAAATCACCTTCCGGACGCGCTCCTAAGTCCAAAATTACCTAACAGAGCTAACTGAACCATCAGAATTCACATCCGAGATCGTTTACATATAAGTCAACATCCGGTTGGCTTTTCCAACTTAAACTTCTAAATAGGAGACTAAGTGTCTCATTCCACACCGAAATCACTCCGGCCCCGAACCAACCAACACAATACCAAGAAATACAGCTGAGGAACACATAAGGAAGCAGAAATGGGGGAAACGGGACTATAACTCATGAAACGACTGGCCGGGTCGTTATCATCCCCTTCTTAAACAAATGTTCGTCCTCAAACGAGTCTAGAAACATAACTGAAGCCTCAATAGGTGTGGATACCTGCTCCGCATCTCCCGCTCGGTCTCCCAAGTAGCCTCCTCCACGGTCCGACCTCTACTGCACTTTTACTGACGCTATATCCTTTCATCTCAACTTTCGGACCTGCCGCTCCAAAATAGCCACTGGCTCCACATCATATGTCAAATCACCATCTAACTGAACCGTGCTGAAATCCAAAACAAGAGACGAATCGCCTATATACTTCCGGAGCGTAGAAACATGAAATACCGGATGCACACTCGACAAGCTAGGTGGCAAAGCAAGCTCATAAGCCACCTCCCCAATCCTCCGAAGCACCTCGAAAGGCCCAATGAATCGAGGGCTCAACTTTCCCTTCTTCCCAAATCTCATAACACCCTTCATGGGTGAAACCTTCAGTAGAACCTTCTCCCCAACCATGTAAAACACATCACGAACCTTTCTGTCAGCATAACTCTTTTGTCTTGACTGAACTATACGAAGCCGCTCCTGAATCACCTTCACCTTGTCCAAAGCATCCTGTACCAAGTCCGTACCTAAAAGCCTAGCCTCGCCCGAATCAAACCAACCTACTGGAGATCTACACCGTCTCCATATAAAGCCTCATATGGAGCCATCTGAATACTCGATTGATAACTATTGTTATATGCAAACTCCGCGAGCGGTATAAACTGGTCCCATGAACCCCCGAAATCAATGACACAAGCGCGCAACATGTCCTCCAATATCTGAATAGTGTGCTCGGACTGTCCGTCCGTCTGAGGGTGAAAAGCTGTGCTCAACTCAACCTGAGTACCCAACACCCGCTGCACGACTCTCCAAAACTGTGATAGAAGCCGAGACACCATGCAGGCGAACAATCTCTCAGATATAAATTTCAGCTAACCTCTCTGAAGAATAGGTAGTACATATAGGAATGAAGTGTGCGGACTTGGTCAACCGATCCACAATCACCCAAATAGCATCAAACTTCCTCAAAGTCCGTGGAGTCCAACTACGAAATCCATGGTGATCCGCTCCCACTTCCACTCTGGAATATCCATCTGTTGAAGCAAGCTACCCGGCTTCTGGTGCTCATATTTCACCTGCTGACAACTGAGACACCGGGCTACAAACCCCACTAAATCCTTCTTCATTCTCCTCCACCAATAGTGCTGTCTCAAATCCTGGTACATCTTTGCGGCACCCGGATGGATCTAATACCTCGAGCTATGGGCCTCCTCTAGAATCAGCTCCCGAAGTCCATCTACATTGGGGACACATACCCGGCCCTGCATCCTCCATACCCCGTCATCACCAATAGTCACATCTCTGGCATCGTAGTGCTAAACTCTATCCTTGAGCATAAGCAAATGAGGATCATCATACTGGCGCTCTC